TGCTGAGGATGCAAAAAGACGTATTGATCAACTCAGACAGAAAGGGGAATTATCAGGCTTAGAACATCATATCTGTCCTAAGTAGAAAAGCGAATGAGCCTTGAAATCTGTGGAAACAGTTCCAGTTCAGACAAGCTTGCTTTTTGGGAGATGATTGTATATATATCTTAATTTAACTAACCTAGTTAATCTACCTGATTAAGTGATCAACCTCAGAAGTTTGGGGAGAAAACAAAATCAGTGTGGCAGAGACTTCCACAGTGATACCTGAATTATAAATTTAACTACTGTTACCTCAAGGGAAATCTAGATCCAAAATCTCTCTGCCTCTTTTCCAGTAACAAACCCACCACATCTTCATTTAGTGCAATATCCTCTTGCTCTGCCCCTCCTCTAATTTACAGCCCCATATTTGGGTGCCAGGGATTCAATGACCTCCCACCAAGGCACCAATGGGTGGTGCCACCATGCCAATTCACAGAACTGGCTCTTCAGAACTTTTGTAAGCCGTTATTTAGAATTCAGGATACATTATTCCCCAGAAACAAGGTTAGGCTCCGAGCTCTACTCCTGAATGCAAATTTATCCTAAAATACAGAGAATTTGCTACAAGCATCTGGAAAAGGGAAAAAAAACAACTTCCAGCATATTGTTTAATGGCAATGGAGAATACGTTTTACAATGAAATGTAATAATGCTCTCGAGAGCATTTTTAATATCCTTGAGAGTTCATTCTTGGCCCTGGATGTCATTTGTTTCTTAGTCTGGACTTTAACCACCTATCCTAGGTGCTTTGTCTCCTACTGCTTCCTTGAATGGTACCCTAGGCTGAAGCCCAATCAAATTCTTTGCATGTACTTTTCCACTTGTGGTTTCTTTTGCCTAGTCGTCTTCTAATTCCTGGCAAACTCTTGATCAGCTCAAACATTCACAGCGTTAATACTCCTCTGTGATGCCCTGGTCAGACTTCCACCTCTCTACTCCCTTGGCCACAAACCCCTCTGAGAAAATTTTGCAGACAACTTCAGGTGGTTCCTCCACTGACCTTCCAAAATTCCAAGGACCCCAGTTTAAAAAGCTGCCCTAGGAAGTAACAGAAATTCCCCCTCCCTACCTCTCTTACATTTCCATAAGATCTTATAAGTACCACTTTGTATTTGCATTAATTACATTATATTGCAATTCTTTTAGGGGGCGGGGTCTCACTCTGCCACCCAAGCTGGAGAGCAGTGGCATGATCATGGCTTATTGCAGCCTTGAACTCCTGAGCTCAAGCAATCCTCCCGCCATAGCCTCCCATGTAGCAGGGACTACAGGCATGCATCATCACGCCCAGCTAATTTTTTATTGTTTGTAGAGACACGGTTTCACATGTTGCCCAGGCTGGTCTCAAACTCCTGAACTTAAGCAATCCTCCCGCCTCAGCCTCCCAAAGTGTTGGGATTTCAGGTGAACCACTGTGCCCAGCCTAATTCTACTTTTATGTTGGGGAAGCATTATGGGTAGTGGGAAGAGACTGAAGTTTAGAGTTAGAATGTATAGGTTCCAACTCTGGCTCTCTGCTTTCCAGTTGGGTGGCCTTGGATAAGTTAATTCTCTTTCCATTTTGGCTTTTCTTCATTTGTACGATGAGAGTGATACCTGCCTTTAAGGAATTGTTGTTGGATTACACAATAATCCACCAAAAAGCCCTAGCCTAGGGCTTAAGCCATACAAAGTGAAAGATAAATGTTAAGAAAATATAAATCTAAATCTGAAACGGTGGACATAGAACTCTAAAGCCAGAAAGAACTTGCATCTCTAGGCTGGGCGCGGTGGCTCACGCCTATAATCCCAGCACTTTGGGAGGCCGAGGTAGGTGGATCACGAGGTCAAGAGATCAAGACCATCCTGGTCAACATGGTGAAACCCCGTCTCTACGAAAAATACAAAAAGTAGCTGGGCATGGTGGCGCCCGCCTGTAGTCCCAGCTACTCAGGAGGCTGAGGCAGGAGAATTGCCTGAACCCAGGAGGCGGAGGTTGCGGTGAGCCCAGATCATACCATTGCACTCCAGCCTGGGTAACAAGAGCGAAACTCCTTCTCAAAAAAAAAAAAAGAACGTGCGTCTCTTCTGTCCAGCTTTGGACTTTCGCCTTTTGTGACTCACCCCCTTCAGTTTGAGACAGCATGTCAATAGCCCGGCGCAACCTTTTAATAACCACTTCTCAGATCACTTATGTGACTAAAATAAAATAAAACCTAGCTGGGCGAGGTGGCTCATGCTTGTAATCCCAGAACTTTGGGAGTCCAAGGTGGGTAGATCACAAGGTCAGGAGTTCAAGACCAGCCTGGCCAACATGGGTGAAACCCTGTCTCTACTAAAAATGCAAAAATTAGCTGGGTGTGGTTTCACGCGCCTGTAGGCCCAGCTACTTTGGAGGTTAAGGCAGGAACCCAGGAAACAAAGGTTGCAGTGAGCCAGGATTGCGCCGTTACACTCCAGCCTGGGTGACAGAGTGAGACTCCATCTCAAAAAAAAAAACAAAATACAATAAAATAAAACTTAGAAAAGTAAAAGAAAGGAGGAACAGTATCCAGGCGATTTGTAAGTGTGAGAAAGAAAAAGTAAGCTGGGATGGAGGAGAGGGAGCCGAAGGAAAAAGGGAGAGGATAATGAGAAAGCTGAGAGCAGGCAGTAGCAAAGGGAAAGGGAGAGAAGGGAAACTGCAAACTGTATGGTTGGGAAACTGTACTTCCAGGATCATAGAAGAAGCAACTGTTCCTTTAAATATATACTCCTGTGAGTGCACTCCTGTGCATTTTTTACTTAAGAAATGCCTTGTGTGGTTCCTAGTACTTCACATAAATAATCATGGTAGTCTGACACAGTGGTTTGTACCTGTCATACAAGCTACTTGAGAGGCCAAGGCAGGAGGATCACTTGAAGCCAAAAGTTAGAAACAAACCTGGGCAACATAGCAAGACCCCATCTCTAAAAAATAATAATGATGATAGTTATACATTGCTAAAATGTACATACCATTTACCATATGCCAGGCACTGTTCTAACTCTTTAGACATATTAACTCATTTAATCCTCACAAAAACACTGTGTGCTAGATGCATAAAAATTCCTATTTTACTGATAAGGAAAGGATACACACAAATAGTCTCATAAATAGGATATATAGGAGCCAGTATTTGAACCCAGAGAGTCTGGCCCTGGAGCCTTGCACTCTTAATCAAAATGACAACCATCACACAGAAATGCACCTGCAGCTGAAGTGGCTCCTGGCATGGCTCAGGTGGCCAATGTGGCCGATACAGTCAACAGCACAGTAAAGTCCAGCCTGGTTGACATCCCCACCAATATACTTTCCAAAACACCACACTAACACCTTAGAAGCTAGATTGGTAGAATTGTATGGCACGGAGGGACATTGGGTTCACTGTGCTCAGACCAGCCAGCTGCTTCTGCTGAGAGTGTCAGGAAAAGCTGGACCCAGGGTCACTGGTCAAATTCCCTGGGGACAGACACGGGGCAGAGGTGAGATGATCTCAGCTCCCATAAAACACTGTAGCGTCAGAAGGACATCATCCTCATTCCAGATAACGTACAGGAAATTCTACAAAAATTCTTTCTGAAAGTTTGCAGGCATTATAATGTTGACACTCCAGTAGTTTTCCAAATATGAAAATAAAGACACTTGTGCTTTATTTTTAAGAACGCTCTATTTTGACCTTCTTTTAAAAGCGATAAAATATGCAGGTTTGTTTTGTTTCATTTTTGAGGCAGAGTTTTGCTCTTGTCGACCAGGCTGGAGTGCAATGGTGCAATCTCAGCTCACTGCAACCTCCACCTCCCAGGTTCAAGTGATTCTCCTGCCTCAGCCTTCCAAGTAGCTGGGATTACAGGCATGTACCACCACGCCCGGTTAATTTTTTGTATTTTTAATAGAGACAAGATTTCATCATGTTGGCCAGGCTGGTCTTGAACTCCTGACCTCAGGTTATCCACCGACCTTGGCCTCCAAAAGTGCTGGGATTACAGGCATGAGCCACTGTGCTCGACCAAAATATCCAGTTTGTGTGTACTCTGTTTATGCTTCCTAGATTGAATTTAACAGATTCATGTTCTTAAACAACTCCATTACTCTTATACTGAACCCTGAGTTCCTACCTCTCCCTCAGATTGCTTTCAGCAATTTGGTTTTATTTTCTCATGTCAAAAATAGAGACTTGTTCAAATAGTTAACATAATTAACAAATTTTAAAATTCTGGTCCAAGGGTGTGTTGGGCAGGCAGGAGTAATGTAAGTTCCCCCTTTTTCTATCTGTTTGGATGATTATGAGCATTTCTGCAACAAGTAAAATCACTACGCAAATGCTTCAGGGTTATCCAATTTGCTGCCTATTTTAGTCATGCTCATTTTCAGTCATTCACAGGTCCCACTGATGTTGGGGGGCATGGTTTATGGATGAATAGGAGGTAAGAATGTTTGAAAGGTTGCCAAGTTTTCTCTGCCTCTAGTGCATCTACTCAGCGACCTACCTGACTACCTGCCTTCTGACTCAGGGGGACATGAAAAATAGCATTTGACATCTAGGATGGTGAAAATCAGAAATCAGGAGCTCCAGCCTCCTCCTCCATGGCTGATAGTGTGGAGGGGAAGGGAAAGGAAAGGAATGAAAGAAGGGAGAGGCTTATTAAATGTCTGCCTACATCTTGGTCTCCATTGTTGTCTCATTACAGCCTAGCTGGGGAACATCTTACCTAAAAACCCATTCATTCAAAATTCTGTCTCCTTTGGAGCATTTTTATGTCTTTTCATGTGTCCTAGAAAAAAATACTGAATTAAATTTAATTTTAATTTTAATTTAATTTACTTTTAAATTTAATTTAAATTCTGAATAAAAGGTCTTACATAATAAACAACTAAAAAGAGCTTAACCATGCAAAAGTAGGTTAAACAGAACAGGGAAAGGCACTTTCAAGTATACAAAACAATCCTATCATTAGAGAAAAAAAAATCTGGTCTCAAAATTCTGGAACAATACAGAGAATTCTAACATGGCCCCTGTGCAAGGATGGTGTGCAAATTTGTGAAACGGTCCATATTTTTAAAAAGCGGCCAATAAAAAAATCTGCAAGTTCAATAAATATGTAATATAAATACTAAATAAAGTAAGGTAACGCCCTTGGAGGAATTAATTTTTTTCATCATTGAACTGCTCTCAAATGCCAAGAAAATATAGAACACTAAAATGAAACCTGGACTCTCAAAGGTCTAGAAGCTGAATTTTAAGCAAACTCTTCATTGAGCAAATGAATATTTTTTGCTTTTTTTAATGGAGACGAAGTCTCATGCAGTTGCCCAGGCTGGAGTGCAGTGGTGCAATCTCAGCTCACAGCAACCTCCGCCTCCTGAGTTCAAGCAGTTCTCCTACCTCAGCCTCCCGAGTAGCTGGGACTACAGGTGCATACTGCCATGCCCAGCTAATTTTTTATATTTTAGTAGAGACAGGGTTTTAATGTGTTGCCCAGGCTGGTCTCAAATTCCTGGGCTCAGGCAATCCGCCCGCCTCAGCCTCCCATAGTGCTAGGATTACAGGCGTGAGCCACTGCATCCTGGCCAAGCAAATGAATCTTTAAGAAACTAGTTTTAACTTTGTGCAGTGGTAGTATCGTAGCCAGTGAGGTTTATCCGAGGCGCAATTATTGCTAATTGAAAACTTTTCCCAATATCCCGCCATGACGACTTGAAATACAGTCGGCATTGGGCAATTTTTGACAGTCTCTATGGAGACTGAATTAAAAAATAAAAAAGAAAGAAAGAAACTGGTTTTAGGCCAACTGGCTACTCGGCAGGGCCATTGTGGGGATAGCATGAGATTTAATGAATGTAAATCTCCCAGCCTAGTGCCTAGCACACAGTGGACACTCACTCAATAATATTTTGTTGAATAAATGTTCAGTCACTCAACCAAGCCAACTCAGCTATCCTGCTGGGTTCTGGTTGCCAAGGGGTAGATGGGTTATCATCATGGGTAATTCTAAGATTACACAAAAACGATTCCTAGAAAGACCAATCCCCTGGCAAACAAAAATCCCAGAATGCTGGGATTTGCTTTCTAACCTTTTACAAAAGGGTTAATTAGAGTTACAACTGAGTTGCTCTGAGAATTAAATGAAATTATGTTCATCTATGCATTCATTCATTCATCCTTTTAAAAAATATTGATTGTTGGGAGCAGAGGCTCATGCCTGTAATTTCAGCACTTAGAAGGCTGAGGCAGGCAGATCACTTGACACCTGGAGTTTGACACCAGCTTGGCCAACATGGTGAAACCCTGTCTCTACCAAAAATACAAAAATTATCTGGGCCTGGTGGTGCACGCCTGTAGTCCCAGCTACTTAGGAGGCTGAGACAGAAGAATTGATTGATCCTGGGAGGCAGAGGCTGCAGTGAGCCAAGATTGTGCCACTGCACGTCAGCCTGGGTGACAGTGAGACTGTATTGAAAAAAAAAATTCCCACCCCTGCAACATTCCCCCCTCCAACATTCCCCCTGACATTCCCCCAACACACTCATTTTCCCATCAACATTAAAAAAAAAAAAGAAAGAAAGAAAGAAAGAAAGAAAAGATTGTGTATTTTCAGCACTGCAAGGATTGTTCTTGTGCTTGGTTGTTGGTGGTGATCAGACCAGCCAAGGTCTCAGCCCCCATGGAACGTACATCCCCCTATGAAGCACTTGACATGCAATCCTGCCATCACCTAGCACTGGAACCCGCCTCTGGGTGGTTGCCCTGGAAAGAGCAGCCAGCTTGGAAGTCAGACTGTTGCCCACTGCAGGCCAACCTTCGCCACTTGGCAGCTATTCACCTGTCAGAGTTCAGTGTCCTGTGTAAAGCTTCTGAGCAGCAGTCCTGGCCCGCAAATGGATATAATAACGCTCAGCTGCAGGGAGTCTGTGAAGGTGAAATGAGACATACTGAGTAGAAAGTACAATATGTGGCATATACCAGGTCCTAGATCCTTGGTAGTCCTTTATTACCTTGATGAACAAATAGATCAAAAGAGGATCAATAAAGGGGATGTAAAGACCCCCACAGGGGTGAGCCACTGCACCCATCCCTAGGATCACTTGAGCCCAAGTTCGAGATCAGCCTGGGAAACAAAGAGACCCCCATCCCTACAAAAAGAAGAAAGAGAAAGTTGGCTGAGTGTGGTTGCACATGCCTATAGTCCCAGCTACGCAGGAGGCTGCAGCAGGAGACTCGCTTGAGCCTGGGTGGTCGAGGCCGGGGTGAGCCATGATGGCACCACTGCACTCCAGCCTGCGTGACAGAGTGAGACCTTGTTTCACAACAATGACAACAAAAGGGACAGAGAGAGAAAGAGAAAAAGACCTAGCACCAGCACAGAGAATAAGGCACATCATTGTGAAATGTCAGAGCAGTAGGGTTAAATAGGAGAGTCTTTTGTTTTGTTTTGTTTGAGACAGTCTCGCTCTGTCACCCAGGCTGCAGTACAGTGTCGTGATCTCAGCTCACTGCACCTCTGCCTCCTGGGTTCAAGCAATTCTCGTGCTTCAGCATCCCAAGTAGCTGGAGTTACAGGCATGCACTACCATGCCTGGCTAATTATTTGTATTTTTAGCAGAGACCAGGTTTTGCCATTTTGGCCAGGCTTTTCTAGATCTCCTCGCCTCACGTGATCCACCTGCCTCGGCCTCCCAAAGTTCTGGGATTACAGGCGTGAGCCACCATGCCTGGCTGGCATGCATTGGCCTTTCTTTTTTCTTTTTTTGAGACAAAGTCTCAATCTGTCACCCAGGCTGGAGTACAGTGGCACTATCTTGGCTCACTGTAACCTCTGCCTCCTGAGTTCAAGAGATTCTCCTGCCTCAGCCTCCCGAGTATCTGAGACTACAGGCGCCTGCCACCACGCCTGGCTAATTTTTGTATTTTCAGTAGAGACAGGGTTTCACCATATTAGCCAGGCTGGTCTCGAACTTCTAACCTTGTGAGCCATCCACCTTGGCCTCCCAAAATGCTGGGATTATAGACATGAGCCACTGCACCTGGCCGGCATTGACTTTTCAATAGGAACACTAGCATCCAGGAAACAACAGCCTGGAGAGTCTGAGGGCAAATGATTTCTGACCTAGAACCCTCAGTTAAGGGTCAGATGGGCTAGAAACATAGAAGGAGTCAAAGCATTTATATCGCTGACACTCCTGTGTTACAAACTCCTGGGGACATGCTCCACCAAAACAGGGAATGAGCAAAGGAATGATCAAAGTGCAACCAAGTCAGACAGGGCTCCCGGGGGCATGTTTCAAAGAAGGAAGAAACGGGACCAACTCATGAGCCTGAGGACCTCACCCTCCCGTGGGGTGTGTCATGGTTCCGTCAGAGTTTGGACCAGAATAATGGATGCGGACATAGAGAAGTGAGCAAATTTTAAAAAGAAAACAGGAAGTCACCGGGGATGGTGGCTCATGCCTGTAATCCCAACAATTTGGGAGGCCGAGGTGGGTGGATCACCTGAGGTCGGGAAGTCAAGACCTGCCTGACCAACATGAAGAAACCCTGTCTCTACTAAAAATACAAAATTAGCCAGGTTTGGTGGGTGCCTATAATCCCAGTTACTTGGAAGGCTGAGGCAGGAGAATCACTTGAACCCAGAGGGCAGAGGTTGCAGTGAGCTGAGATCGTACCACTGCACACCAGCCTGCTGACAAGAATGAAACTCCATCAAAGAAAAAAAGAGGAGAGGAAGGGAGGGGAGGAGAGGGGAGGGGAGAAGAGACAAGGGGAGGGGAGGGGAGGGGAGGTGAGAGGAGGGGAGGGGAGGGGAGGGGAGGTGAGAGGAGGGGAGGGGAGGGGAGAGGAGGGGAGAGGAGAGGAGAGGAGAGGAGAGGCAGGAAGGCAGGAAAGGGACAGAAAAGAAAGGAAGGGAAGAAGGGAGGGTGGGAGGGAAGGAAGGAAGAAAAAAGAAATGTGATTATAGTACACAATCATGTCAGCAGTGATATAAATGAAGCCATAAATTAGAATGTAACTGTTGTGGCCACTGGGGTGAACCAAAAAGACCACCTTTCAAAGAACAATCTTGAGGGACGTATTCCCACTTCAGTGTCACTGGCTGTCTTAGTGGAAAGGTCCCCTCCCCTGGGCTGCTGTCAGCCAATGGCTGAGCAGGGCAGGAAGACTGGCGTGGCCATTGCTATTCACTGCAGGACTTCTCCAGTGGGCACTCTGTACTCTGGGTCACCCCATGGACCTGATGGTGAATTTCTCAGGACTACACTGAAGCCTGAAGCTCTCCGGCTCAACCTTCTCCCTTGCTGCTCTCCTTCTCAGGCTCCATCCTTCACAGGCATCCTGTCCAGGAGATATTCTGTATTTCTAATTCTGTCTTGGGAAATCAAACTGTCAGAGGATCGAACTAACACAATCACTGTATTAGAAGAGAAGAAGGAAAATTGCGGGTTAGAGGCAGAAAGCAGTGTTAGGTTCTTTCAGTTTAGATGTAGTATCCCTTCACCAGTCTACAGCTCAAACCTAGCCCCTCTCCCCAAACTCACTCCTCCCTGTTGTCCGAACTTGGCTGGAGCCACTGGTTCTAAGTGTAGCTCATTTCACTGCCAGAGAAGACACCGTAAAGGTGTATCCAGAGAGCACCTGAAGAATACACTCATGTATCCCAAGGAGGAGACAAAGTGATCCCAAGCCAACTGCTTCCCAACTTTATCTGGGGACTCCTTGCCAGAAAGCTTATGATGTGTTTATAGTGAAGTGAGGATTTACTTCTTTTTTCTTCAGAGAGGACAGCAGCTGGTCAAACTAGTCAAACACTGTCCTCCCACATCACTAAGTGCACTGAATGAAGAGGATGGGGAAAAAGAGCAGAAAGAGATGCTTGCAAGTCAGCTCCCTCCTCCTCCTCCCCCCCACCTCCCCCGCAGCTTTGACCACTGCTCTGCCTCAGAGGCCCCCAGACTCCTGCTACATACCTTCCTTCCAGAGCAGTCAGGCTGGGTGGAATGTAGGCAGGGAGGTAGCAGGTGTGTGCATGAGTATGCCTGTGTGTGTGTGCACATGACAGAAACCACACAGCATCACAGCACATAGTCATAGGAAGAACAAGAGCATTCAGGCTGGACTCAGTGGCTCCCGCCTGTAATCCCAGCACTTTGGGAGGCCAAGGCAGGTGGATCATGAGATCAGGAGATTGAGACCATCTGGCTAACACAGCGAAACCCCATCTCTACTAAATACAAAATATTAGCCGGGTATGGTGGCGCATGCCTGTAATCCCAGCTACTCAGGAAGCTGAGGCAGGAGAATTCCTTGAACTGGAGAGGCAGAGGTGCAGTGAGCCAAGATTGAGACACTGCACTGCATCCTGGGTGACAGACCGAGACTCCATCTCAAAATGAAAAAAAAAAAAACTATTCCCCACTTGGTGTGTCTGTCTACCTGGCTTTCATATTAAGCCAGTGAAGAGCCTTCCTCATCTACTTCTGGTCTTGCAATAGATGGAGTAATACAGGAACACACCGAATTGCTTGGGGGGATATATCACATCTATGTAATTTCTTTAAAGTACAGTAACCAGGTGGAGCCAGAAATTCCAAAATGCCTGCCCTTAAACCTGTGAGGTAGCTATAGTCTGTTAGCAGGAATAGCATATCATCCACTTCAGGCCAAAAATAAAGTCATTCCAATGACCAATATAGGAACTACCAGAAAAATTTTGATGACAAGAACCAATAGGCAGGCTAAATTTTATAAC